ATTTTACTGTTGACTAATCATTTTGACTTACCAAATCAGTTAAGTTTAAACCCTACTCATCTATCACTGACACAAATTCATCACAGTTCACCATACTTTTATTGAATCCACAATAGACAAGGAAAAAGTGCTGAACAAGAAATTATCAATAGGTTGATAACAATACAAACACGAGTCCAATTGTGTAAAATAAAGAATTCTGCTGCTGAGATAAAAACAATATTATATAACACTAGCTGTGTGCCCGTTCTACTCACAGGAATCTTTATATAGTAGTCAGTTGAAACCTTCTTATTTAAAGAACAGCAGTTGTTGGTTTGCATATTTTCAGATATGCTGATGAAACTATTATATATTAACAAATACAGTATCTGACATAATTAGAAGGAAATGTGAAAAAATCACACAATGTTGGGTTTTTGAACGTTTTAAATTTATTTCCTAAGTAGGTAGGCCATGTAGGCTACAGTATTCTAGGTAAAAGTACTGGTACCTATCAAGGATAGTCGTTGGATACCTATGACTATTGGTACAACTTAAATCAATTAATTATCAATCATTGAGATGGGGACGACACCTAGGTGCGTATTTTAACCCAAATATGAGTCAAAGACGAGTGTAGAATGGCGTGAGATGATCTGTGTAGCTTTGCTACTGATTAATATCAGCTATTTCATTATCAAGGATCATTTATTTAAACACCGATCAGGAACAGCTGGGTCCAGTTCCGAACAATCCAAAAGCTACTGACTTTTCAGGATCAAAACGGTGACCTTTTGATTGTTAGGCGAGAACCATAACCACTCAGACAGTTTCCAATAGTCAATGCTCGTACGTAAAGATTAAAAATTGACTATGAATCCAAACAACACTGAATCTTACAAAAAGACCTGCTTATGTAACACTGTTTTGGGAACCAACTGTTTAAATAGTGCATGCCTTCAATCTGAAGAGTGCTGGTTCGATTCCAAGTGTTTACAATATCATCTTGGTTATTAGACCAAGACACTGTTTGTCTTTCAGCTATCTTTTCTAACAGGTCGACGTTAGATAGCAACAACGGTTGGGACCGTTTCTTTACTAATTTTAATAAATGCCATTAACATAAATAGACACAATAAAAAAGGGAAAGATTAGTATAATATGTTTTACACTAAAATCACTTAGTCATAAAAATAACTATTCATACCTAGATTTTTTTCAAACGAAATTTAATTTGTTTTGCACTGGTTGCATGGTCTAATTAAGAAGATTATACTATGAGTAAACAAATTCTGCTCATTTTGCTCCGTATAAAAACTTAGCCCTATTTAGTTCAGGAAAAAAATTAACAGATCAAATCAAATAATAAATTGACAAAAACATTACATCAAAATGCCTTAATCTACAACACAACTAATTCTTAATTTACTAACATACCGGTAGTTAAACAATTAAATTTAACAATAAATGTTCAGTAGTATTGGAAATAAGTTATTTTAGACAATTATGTTGAGATAAACAATTTCTGAGTCCTATATACTTTTAAGAAATTGGTTAAATTTAAAATTGTTTTTGGTGTTAATTGCAATATGGCTACAGTATTATATTCTTTACACCAACAAGAAGAATTCCAAATTCCTTTGGTTGAAATCTGTGGTCAAACCAGACTTAACGATACCCCAGCATTTTCTGTATATACAGGACAAACTCTTCGGTGTAAAACAGAATGCAACAAAACATAGGTTCAATTTTCACTACAATACTTAAGACTTGGTGGTATCAAACACAATGTTTAAACAATTCGACAGTAGCAGTAGTGGATACAACAGGTGCATTGGTGGGTGTGTAATACCCATTGGACCTTACTTCCTTACTTCCTGTTAGTTTGTTTGCAGCTTTAATTCTCAGTGTTAAAGCAGTGACAGGTGCATCAAATTCTTTTACTATGTTTTGTGCTTCCATAGACTTGAGTATTATTGCTCTTATCCTTGCCAATCTAGTATTTATGGTAAGTTTTTGTTATTTTGGTCCTATTCTTGTGATTTTATTTAGTTTTACAAATATTCACCACTGTCTAGTATTGTTTTGCATTGTAAATAAACAGTATAGCTTGTTTTTTTTTACATTACATTACATTAAATTTACTTGCTGAAGTAACGGGCAAAACTTTCAAAAATTACATACAGAAGAGAACTTTATAGAATTGTTGGTCTATAAAAGCTTACGATTACTTTTCTTTTGATTTACTACTTCCCATTCACCTCTACTACTTCGTTTCAATCGCAAAGACAGT